ATAAGGCTATACTATAATATTATAATACTATAATAAGGCTATAATAAAGCTATACTATAATATTATAATACTATAATGAGGCTATAATAAGGCTATACTATAATATTATAATACTATAATAAGGCAATAATAAGGCTATACTTGTATTTTTATTTGCTAAATCTGGCAACTCACACTTAAACCTCCCCTCTCACCCCCAACCAGGGCAGTTAGGAGCAAATGATCTAGGGTTTTGTCTTGTGTTCAGGCTCCAGAGAGTTGTTCATGATGAGTTCCTTGGGCATGGCATTAGCAAGCCTCAGGAAGAATTCTGAGATGCCCTAAATATTTTGGTGGCTTCATCAGCCCCTTTGTGCAGCTCATGGTAAAACCAAAACCAAACCAGTTGCCATCAAGTTGATTTGACTCACAGTGATTCCATGTGTGTAAGGATAGAAATGTGCTCCATAGAGTTTTCGATGGCTGATTTTTTGGAAGTAGCTCACCAGGCCTTTCTTCCAAGCAGACTTAAACCTCCAACCTTTTAATTAACAGCCAAGCATGGTAACAGTTTGCACCCAGGGACTCCTGGAACTCATGGTAGTTTCAGGTCTAACAGCTGAGTCTCTGGCCTAGAATTCACTTAAACCTCCTCAGGCCTTGTGCAGAGGCAGATTTACCAGGAATCAAATGAAGCTTAACTTCAGAATTCCACGCTATTAGCCACTGTGGGGAATTCAGTCTTCATCATTCTCTCTGTACGTTTTCCTTTTCATATCTCTCTCCCATCTATTCAGTACTCTAGTATCCCATGTTACACTAAATGCTGAAGCAAGCAAATGATAAACCAATGAGGTAATATATAATAAAGTAGTTTGAAAAGGATTCAACACTATTGCAAAGTATAGTGATATTAAGTTGCTAGTAATATAATGTGTCACCTTTCCTCTTCCCTCCCTGCAGTGTTAAAATGTTAGTAATGTAATAGGTCAACTTTCCCCCTCTATGCTTTATTGAAAATTCTAGGCAGGAGAACCCATAAACTTGACTTTCAAAAAAATCTATATGTTTATCTATTTTTTTTTTACCCATATATCTACACCTATTTCTATATTGATACTCACTGCAGAAAACCAGAGGAAAAAAACAAAGGAGAAAATAAATACCACCATTATTCAGATATGATCACTTAATAGATTTATCTTTGACAGTGTCAGTTCTTCACAAACAGCCAAAGAGGTTCACGGCCTTATTTCCTTGGGATACAGTCCCTACATATATGGAATTACCTGATCAAAGGGCAGGGATTCTGTATAGTTACCACCAATGCTATCAGGATATTTGAAGAATTTACACTATTACCACTGGGTAAGAAAGTGCTTGTCTCATGGTAGGACATCTCATTGTTAAATTTTAGTACTTGTGGTGAAATGAGTTCCTTTATGTTTCCTTTTGCCTTGGTTCTTTGGAAAAACAGCTTGAGAATTTTTTTTCAAGCCCTGAGAAGTTACCTTTGCCCTAGTAGTCTACCCTAGAAGTTTTATTACTTTTGTCAAGGTTGATTGACATTTCCTGGGTAAGCTGTAAACAGCCCTGGGCTGCAGCCTGCCCTGTGATTGGTATATTGTATGCTCCTTGCAGGGATTGGTCCATATACTATAGACTGTGCAAATGAAGTGATTGTGGTCCACTAAGGAGACTGGTCATCTTATGGCCCTGCTGGGAAGGCCAAGCCTTAAAATTGACAAGGAGTTTGCTAATACATGTAGCCAACCCTACAGAAGTTTTAGGAGAAAGAAAGAAGGAAAAAGGAGAAAAGGCAGGAGAGGCAAGAAGAGAAAAAAAAGAAGCAGAGAGAGAGGAAGCAAGAAACCTCCTAAAAGAGCTGTAACACAGGTCAAGGGCTGTTAACACTGCAGACAGCAAGAGGTCCGAAGGGGCCCGGCAGCAGAGTCAGTGGTGATGGCAGAAACCTGATGCTAGGAATGCCCCTGAGAGAGATGAGCAAAGCTGCTACACTGGCTATGAGCTGGGTCAGTTAGCATTGGAGAGACTGACAGCAGGGAGGTCAAAGGCAGAGAGGCCTGCACGGCTGAGGGGGCACGCAGGCCAAGAGGAAGCCTGTTCAGAGGGGGCTGAGAGGAGGCCTGCATGGCTGCCAGGGGGCATGCAGGGCCAAGAAGCTTGTCCTTAGGGGTCTGAGAGGAAGCCTGTCCTGAGGGGCCTCAGAAGAGTCCTGCATGGCAGAGAGAAGGGCCTGTTTGCTTGCACAGCCAAGAGGAGCCGAGAGGGCTGTCCTGCACTGAAAAAAGGAAGGGATGTGCTTTCCACTTTGGGGGAGACTTCCAGACTTTGCCTACATGCTTCCTGATCCTATCCCCAGTTGTGACCTGTTGGTCCTGATCCTGAGTTGTAGCTATTGGTCTTGATCCCAAATTGTAGCCTGTTAATTCCTTATTAAACCACTTAACTGTAAGCATGGTCTGTGAGTTCTGTGTGGCCACTGCAACGAATTATCAAACCCAGCAGAGAAATAGAGAGTGCCGCATGGGGACGGCTGGTGTTAGAAATGGTAAAGACATTGGAGAATGGAGGTATGTCTGACCTCCACCTCACAGGAATCAGCTTTATGCTGATGGTGATTCTCTCTCCTACTCCTGAGGTTAGAGGACTTCGGGCGCTACTAGAACAATACAGTACTTTTCATTTTATCGCTTTCATGAGTGTGATTTTGCTCTCAAACAAGATTCAACAATATTTACTCAACAAAGAAATCATGAGCTCATACAATATACCAGACTGTGCTAGGTACCAGAGTTAAGAAGAGGAATAAAATACAGTCCCTGTCTTCAGGGAATTCAGTTTTTTGAGGGAGAGCCAAGCAGAAATTACCCTCCATCTTTTTTCCCCTCACCTCAAATATTCCAATGACAATGTCCATATAAAAATACAAACCCCCAAACTACCCATCCAAATAAGTAATACAATACCAAAAAGAAGTTCATTTGCTCAAAAATCATTAATCAGCTATATATTATGTGCTCACGGCTTTGTTAGGGGCTGGGATAGTATAAGAGAAAGATAAGATGCTGCCAGAAGACTACTGGACAATCCTTCCTCAGACAGTGAAGGGGCATTTTAGCTATTTGTCATGAGACAAAAGTTCCATCACCTGGGAACACATGGAATGAGTAAATTATCACTAGCAGAACATGGTACAGCAAGGCTTTGGCTGTTCCAGTCCATGAGATTATTTATTTAGTTTTAACAAAGAAAAGAGAACAAAAAACATGTGATGTTCAGTTCATATCTTGCTCTACATGAGAATTTTTTCCTCTTGGTAAAACTCTGTTAAAGAGGAAAGAGGCTGGACTCTGGTTGACCCAAATGATACAGAAACAGCTATAATTAGATGTCATCACTATAAATCCTGGAAGCAAATTAGGGACCAGGTTATGTTCATAGAGGCTGACTTTTTGTCCACTTCTCCTGAGATGAGGAGGTTTTTTCAGTTATGTCAGAAAATGAGTGCAAATAGTATATGGTTATTACTGAATGTTATCTCAAGTAGCAAATTAAAGGGAACTTTGTTAAAAGCCCCTTCCAATGGATGTTTCTCTCTTAGTCTTCTGATACTTTCACTGCCTTCTAAAAAGAACATACGAATAGATTTGGAGTCTCTCAAGGAAGAGATGGATTTTTGCCGAATGATGTTAAAAACAATTATCTTAAACAAAGACCTAGTCACCATCATCACTGGATACCTACTTTCAATGGGAATTCAATGGCTTCCCATTCCCAAATCCCAAGTGTTCTACCAGGCTCTGCTTGATTTGACTCTTGCCTAACTTACCAGTATCTGCTCTTGCCCTCTCACCCTCACTCTGCTTTCTCTCAGTTCCTGGACTGTGATTAGCTCTTTCCACCCCAGCATCTTTTCCATAAGCATTCTTTCCACCACGCTATGCTTCCATAATACCTGCTCCTCTTCTAGGATCAGCTCAAACGTCATTTCTTCAAATAAGCCTTTCCTGGCCCCTCCAACTAGGTCAAGTCCTTTAGTCATACCATTATACAGCACTCTACACTTTTCCTTCATAGCACTGTAATTACAGTTATGTAATGTTTTTAAAAGCTTGAATTAGTTGTTAATTTCCTTCTCCTATGCTTCTTCAGGGCAGGGACCACGTGGTCCTGTTCACTGCTGTACCCCAGTGCCAAGCACTTGCCAAGTACTTGTTGAATGAGTGCATAAATGAAGTAAATTTCAGTCTTATTGGGGCAATGACTAACATTCATTCATTTATTCTTTAATAATTATACATTAAAACACCTATCTGGTCCCCAAAATTGAGGTTCAAAAGCTTACAAGGGGCTTACTATCTAGTAGTTGGATTAACACACACATGTAGAATAGGTGCCATCACCAGTTTTGTTTCAAGCTCTTCAGAGTGCGACATTAAGAAATGTTCTTACTATTAAAATTATTTCTCCCTAAATCACTTGGATTTGATCTGTAGCCACTGGGGATAATGCAAGTTAGAACGTCTAGAAATTAAAACTTAAGTAAAAAGGGGGAATTTCCTCTTCCTCTGCCTTAGGAGCCCTGGTGGTGCAGTGGTTAAGAGCTCGGCTGCTAACCAAAAGGTTGACAGTTTGAATCCACCAGCCATTCCTTGGAAACTCTATGGGGCAGTTCTACACTGTCCTATAGGGTCGCTATGAGTCAGAACTGATTTGACAGCAATGGGTACTCTAACTGTATATCAAACATTCTGTGTTGTATTTTAAGAGATAAATCAGCAAGCTGTTATGTATATAGCGGACAGTGACCAATACAATGGAAGGAGGGGGGAGGCAGCCAAAATCACTTTAAGGGATATTGTTTCATAGCTACTACTTGGACGTGTTACATTCAAAGTTTCTACAATTTTTAAAAATATGCACATAGCACAAAAGAACAATTATGTCTCCAGCCCACTTCTACTGCTTTGGCAGCTGCTGAGTGCATCATTTTCCATTTGGAGTTATAGGGGTCTGGATGATGATTGCCATTCACATGTGGGAACTTTTGGATTTCAGAATCTAAACTTACTGATAGTCCAGAAGTGCTTCACTGACAGGCAGTTTGACTTCTTTTGGCGGCCCGTCTTGGGTATCCTTTTTATTTACTTTTCCTGTGTTTTCCATTGTGCTGGTTAGCTATTAAGACATATACCTGTTTAGAAAAGAGACAAACAAGAAAAGTAGATAAATTTCATCTTTGACCCCTACTTGTATTTATTCTAGACAAGGACCCACTAAGACTTAATTTAAAACTGGCTTTTCCATGCAAACTGCTTCTGTGCCCGTAGACCTAACATCCATCACAATGCTGGAACATTATGAATCAATTGGATTTTTGTGAATGGTAAATCCCATGCTTAGTCCAGGTATAGCATTTGCTCTACCCAACATTTCCTAAGAAACGCACTCCCTTGTTGTCCATCTACATTTGTTGCCCCATCAGACTTCTTTAAGGGCAAGGACTGAACATTTTCTATCATTTTATTTCCCCCATGGTGTTGGGCAGAGTGTACTGCACATAGCAGCAGCTCAATAAATTTGTTATTAAAAAAATAAATAAAACAAAACCACAACTTTCTATGCACACCAAGAAAGAGAACTAGGATCCAAAAGAACTAGGTTTGGCTAAGGTTGTTATAAATATCAAATGAAAGCACATATTAAAGTGGTTTATAAATGGTTAAGAGGTTTAAAAATGTAAATCATAATGAGTATCATTGTGTTACTAACAATAATGTTCATCAGCTATTAATTGCTTTTTCACCTAATAATAAAAATTATCAGGAATGTTGTTGTTGTTAGGTGCTCTCGAGTCAGTTCCAACTCATAGTGATCCTATGTACAACAACAGAATGAAACGCTGCCCAGTCCTGCACCATCCTCACAATCGTTACTATGTACAAGCCCATTATTGTAGTCACTTATTGAGGATCCATCTTATTGAGGATCTTCCTCTGTTTTACTGACCCTGTGCTTTACCAAGCATGATGTCCTTCTCCAGGGACTTGTCCCTCCTGATAACACGTCCAAAGTACATGACATGAAGTCTCACCACCCTTGCTTCTAAGGAGCATTCTGGCTGTACTTCTTCCAAGACAGATTTGTTTGCCCTTTTGGCAGTCTATAGTATATTCAGTATTCTTCGCCAACACTATAATTCAAAGGCATCAATTCTTCGGTCTTCCTTATTCTTTGTCCAGCTTTTGCATGCGTATGAAGTGACTGAAAATACCATGGCTTGGGTCAGGTGCACCTTAGTCCTCAAAGTGACATCTTTGCGTTTCAACACTTTAAAGAGGTCTTTTGCAGCAGATTTGCCCAATGCAATACGTCATTTCATTTCCTGACTGCTGCTTCCATGGACGTTGATTGTGGATCCAAGTGAAATGAAATCCTTTACAACTTTAAATTTTTCTCTGTTTATCATGATGTTGCTTATTGGTCCAGTTGTGAGGATTTTTGTCTTCTCTATGTTGAGGTGCAGTCTATACTGAAGACTGTAGTCTTTGATTTTCATTAGTAAATGCTTCAAGTCCTCTTCACTTCCAGCAAGCAAGGTTGTGTCATCTGCATATCACAGGTTGTTAATGATTCTTCCTCCAATCCTGATGCTGCATTCTTCTTCAAGTAGTCCAGCTTCTTGGATTATTTGTTCAGTATACAGATGGAATAATTATAGTGAAAGGATACAACCCTGATCCACACCATTCCTGATTTTAAAGAGTAATATTTTTAAAAAGGAGGACTCAAGGCCCACTGCTCATAGATGTTTATAGTAAGCAGAGATACTTCATGGATTTAGTTTCGGTACTAAAGCACATCTTTTCAGATTATAGTCTTCCTTAGCAGATTCTTATCTTTGAATTCCCACTACTCTCCAAAGAATAAGAGCTAATCCTCCATCAATGTATTAGTAGTTTGCTGTGATAGAAAGAACATAACCTTTGTAATTATTTGTTTAAATGGCTGTCAACTCCATGAGAGTAGGGATGATGTAATTTTTGTTCTTTACTGTATTTCCCCACCTAGCACACAGGTGCACAATAAAATCCTTGTCAAATGAATAAATGAGTGGATGGATGAATGAATTAGGCAGACATGATTTTAATTCTAGATCCAGCATGTATTATCTGTATGACCTTGAGTAGGTTACTTAATCTTTTTGAGCTTCAGTTTCATCATCTGTAAAGGGAGAACAATAATTATCATTCTAAGAGCTGTTCTAAGATTAAATAAGTGAATATTTAAAGCGCCTAGAATACTGTCTGACATATAGTAGGACATTAATAAGTATTGTGTCCCTTCTTCCCCTTCATTTATCACTCCAGATAATGTTTCATCAAATGCCAGGTTACTGTAAAGCAGAGGATGTCTGCCTGCTGTCAAATACAATCATATGTGTAAAGACTAATCCATTAGATTTGCTATCATCAACCTTCATCACGGTTTTGGATCACTAAATTGGTTATATATGCAGCAATCTACATAGATCATTCAGATTCACAGTGGAAAAACTCTTGAAATGAAAACATACTTTTTCAATGTAGACATGTTGCTCACATATCCAGACCTCCACTGAGACTCAGTCTTCACGTATGAGACTTTTCTTTTCTAGCCAAGTGTATAAATCTCTATATGCTAACAGATTTGAGTACGTGTGGACACAAATGTACTACAATATTTTCCAACAGAAAAGCACACAGATGACACAACAAAAAGTTTAATACATTAAGAGAGGGTAATATATTAAGCATGAAAGTATTGAGAATAATTCCAGAAGCTACATACCAAAGTGTGTCATCATTAAACCATCACATTTCACAGAAACTAAGAAAAAATGCTTTCTTTTGTTTCTGATGCAGAGTTGAATTTTTATATTATTTTCTATTTCAGAACTAGAATTTTTAACTTGAGTAGTGCATACAAAGACAGCATGCTGACAAATGTTTCATTTTAAAACAATAGCTCTTACTATTTAACAACATTTTTACTATATACAATATTTTATGTTACAAAAATGTCAGCATTAACCTCTAATTTTCTTTCTGAGTCATATGGAAGAGACCAAGTGTTATGGTCTGTCCTGCCATACCATCTGGTACAGGGGGGAAAATGGTCTCATCTTGCTCAATTACCTCAGTTACCTGGCTTTTGTGTTTTTACCTGCTCTGAGTAATATATAATTAGTTACCTAACTGCAGCTCACACCAAAGACTGTTTTTTTTTTTTTTTT